CTCTGTCCCGCAGCGGCTCCTCCTCTGACCCGCTGTTGACTCACCGACCGTCCCATTCACTTTAACCGGACAGCTGGTGATGCGGCAGGGACACAACATGGTGAGGGACGTGGTGGGCAGCAGGTGAGTGGATGCCCACTTGCAGCCCCTGCCGTGATGGATCTGAAATGACAGGTGCCCTTTAATATTATATTTATAAGCTGCTTAGAAGGTCTCCCTTTCATTTTCACTGCTTGCTCTTCCTCCTCACACTTAAAGAGTCCGGTGGTACAGCTGCATTTCTCGTCAAACAATCAGACAGTTTGTAGTGCACATACATTTGCAAAACAAGGGGAATAAAGGAATATTCCTGAAGTTTTGTTTTATGATTGATCTCGTGGTTAACTGGGAAACTGCGTGAATGCATCAATAATGCAGGACATGTTATCTCAGCTGGCAGAGCTTGGATTCATTGGATGAGTTTCCCAAATTATGTAAATGTTGTAGAATCTACAGCCTCACACTACATAAGCTCCATTTCATGCCGAATAAACTTAAATTATTAATATATCTTAAATAGAGAACTATCTTTCAATGGATTTTTTTTTACTCCAAAAGGGTTTTATTTAAATAAATTTGATGAAAATGAAAAAAAAATGATTTAAATAAAAAAAATCCAATTAAAAATTTAAAAAATCTGATTTTTTTTCCCCCCTCCAGAGACGGAGGCTCCGGGGCTAAGGACTTAGCCGAATGCGTGGAACTGCTGCTCCAGCTGGGGGAGCCGGCAGAAGAGCTGTGCGACGAATTCCTCTCCCACGCCCACTGCCAGCTGGAGGCCGAACTGCAGACCCTGGAAGCTGAGCTGGGAGACGGGTCGCGCTTAGGGGCAGCCGGCCCAGTGACCGACATCCTTGAATTCACGGACCGCGGTTGCAACAACTTTGTCAGCAACATCTGCCTGGTGATCGCCTCCTACCAGGAGCTGTTCATACACCGGGAGGGCGCCCAGGGCATTGCCCGCATGGCTCACGACAAGCTGGTGGCCTTTGTTGACGGCCTGATGGAGCGCTACTTCGCCCTGGTCGAGAGGCGCATTCAGCTCGAGAAAGGGGTGGGAGACAACTCCCTGCTGGTGCGGGCGCTCGACCGCTTCCACCGGCGTCTGCAAGCCCTGGCCAAGCTTTTGCCGGCCTCGCGGGCGTCCGCCGAAGGGACGGAGATTGTGGTGCGCGCAGCCAAGGAGCGCATCCGGCAATACCTCCAGGCCTTAGAATGCTTCTACCTGGACTGCCTGACGGACGTGCGCCAGTCCCTGGCTGCCCCTCGCCTGGTGGGGAAGGATAACCCCAGCCTGGCAGAGCTGCTGGGCACCATCTCGGCCTCCATCCTCAACCAGATCAAATCTGTCCTCACCTACGTTCACCTCTTCACCGCCAAGGACATCAACTTCTCCAACAAGTCTTACTTCAAGGTAGAATTTATCCTTTTGTAACCCACTACCAAGCACGGCTTCTCCTCTTTAACCACTTTAAGATATGTGGACTTCAACTCTCAGAATTCCGTAGGCTGGGGAATTCTGGGAGTTGAAGTCCACACGTCTTAAAGCTGCCGAGGATGAGACACTCTGCTATACAGAGCTGGAGTAAGGCCAAGTGATATACTAAGCACAGCTTAACTGCGCTGCCCGTTCAATCCCTCCGTTGTCCGATAAGACAACGCAGTCTGAATAATGTTTAAATTGAGTTTCTTCCAGGCCAAATAACACAATACAAACTTTTTAAAATTACATTTACTTAAAGGTAAAGATTCGTCCACACATGTGTGCTAGTCGTTCCTGACTCTAGGGGGCGGTGTTCATCTCCATTTCTAAGCCAAAGAGCCAGCACTGTCCGAAGAAATCTCCGGGGTCATGTGGCCGGCATGACTAAACACCAAAAAAAGTGACTTAGCACCGTTTTTCACTGTTACGACCATTGCAGCAGCCCCATGGTCACATGATCAAAATTCGGATGAGTCCAATATATGACGGTTGCAGTGCCCTGGGGGGGGGGTGTCACACCATCTCCTTTTGCGACCTTTCGATGAGCAAAAACTCAACGGAAAGCCGGTTTCACTCAGCAAACGGCTTACCGACTTATCAATGGTAGTGATTCCCTTCAAAATCAATGGCAAAGAAATGTCGTCAAATGGGGGCGAAACTCACTTTCACAACAAGAAACGTTGGGCTCAATTGGGAGGGGTGAGGTCGTACGTCGAGGATTCCCTGCCTCGCGCTGCCCTGCTAGCGTGTCCCTTTTTTGCTTTCCTCTAGGGCGAATTTTGCAGCCAAGGTGTCCGCGAAGGCCTCGTGGTCAGCTTCATTAAGTCTCTCTGCCAGATCGCTCGGCAGTTCTGCGAGAGTTCGGGCGACAAAGGAGGCTCCAGCCCCCCAGCTCTCTTGCTGCTCCTCTCCCGCCTCTGCCTGGATTACGAGACGGCCACCATCAGCTACATCCTCACCTTAACCGATGAGCAGTTCCTGGTACAGGTAGGGCCGGAGGGTGGCCGGAGAGCAAATTCAGAAGTCCAAACCTTAGAGAACACCTAGGCTTCCCCAGCAGCCTGAAATCGGGTCCTCGTCCCCATAAACCACTTTTTTATTTAATTGACAGTGACTTCCTCTCCAGCAAAGTCTTTCCTCTCCCACAGTCTTTCAAGAGAATTCACAACTACTGGCCTTGATCAGGCGTGGAGAGTGGCCAGGCCGATATCTTTCAGGCGCNGAGCCTTCCCCAGACTCCAGGACTGGCCCAGGTTCCTCCCCAACCTCCTCACTGTCCGAATCTGCTGCCAGCTCCACTGGCTACTGGCGGGCCACAACAGAAACTAGATTGATTTTTATTGGGGGGCGGGGGGGAGAATGGCCACGTTATGTGAAAACACAGTTAACAGAAATTTTAGGTTAGTGGATCTTTTGAGTTCCTCAAAAGAGGGACGGACGGATGGACACACGTCCTAAGTGGCTTCTTCACCTCCTTCCCAGGACAATCCAGGGCTTGGCTGGGCCTTTCCCTGCACTCACCTGCACGTCGATTGAGGTGGCGTCTTCCACCACCCTCTTCATGACGGCACGGACGTTGCGCGGCTCGATGGTGGAGATCCAGTCCCGCGTCTCCACGCTCTTGCGCAACATCTGGGAGATGATCAGCCCCTGGACCTTCACGTAATGGTTGAGCAGCTTCTGGGCAGCCTCCCTGGCCTCGGCGCACAGCACGGTGACCGGCGTCACGGGGGAATGGTCCTGGTGGAGGGACAAGACCCAGTGAGAAAGGAGAGCCCGGCGGTTGGGACGACGAACTGAAGCCTGGCGCGGGGGAATTTTAAGCATCCTCTCCTTTTCCTGGAGATGTTTTGGAGCTCACCTCCCATGATCCCGAGACTGGAGCCTGGAGCTCCAGGAAGACAGCAGTTATTTCAGTGTTTATAGAGCTGGAAAGGGCAAGGACTCTCCCCAGAGCTGACAGAGCAAGCAACTCATGTATATAAAAAATAGAAAAAATCCATTCCCTTGTAGCACGGATGATATGCTGACTCTGTAAACCGCTTAGAGAGGGCTGAAAGCCCTATGAAGCAGTATATAAGTCTAACTGCTATTGCTATATCACCTAGCTGGGTCATGAAACGTCTGCAAGAAAATACCAAGCTAAGAAAGCAGCAAAGACCCCACAGTCATCATTTTCTCCATCATCCTCTTCCTCTTCACAAATCCCCCTCCCCCTCCTACCACTGATGATGTCACCTAGTTTGGTAATGAAATGGCCTCAAAGAAGCCAGAGTATCAAGGACCCACAGTTGTCCTCTTCCCCCCTGCTCTATTCCTTCTGCTTCTTTCCCTTTTCCTCCTCTTCCTCCTCCACTCACAAATCCAATGTCAGGTTTTTTAAAAATGCCCTAATGGGTTCATGAGCCTCAAGCCAAGTTTCAATGCAAATCTAGTCATTTATTAAGAGCACTACTAGGCAAGGCCTTTTTGCAGTCAGATCTGAGCTTTGAGTTACAGCTGAACTTTACCCCCGTTCCTCCCCTCAGTCTGTGTCATAAATCACATTCCCCAATGAGGTGCACCCCTCCCAAGCCTGCTGCAGTAATCTGAGATCCAACATCATGCGTGGAATGCGCTCCTCCTCCTTCCCTCACCATGACAACTTTAGGAGTTGACACCCCTTCTGCAACTGAAGATGCTACCTCACTGGGTCATGAAACGTTTGCAAGAAAGTAAGGGTGGGATCTCGCCCTTCTTCTACTCTGATACTAAGTACAGGAGCCCCTCAGGGTTGTGTGCCAAGCCCCTTCCTTTATTCTTTGTACCCGCATAGATTGCACTCCATTGTATACCACCAATGCAATTATTAAATTTGCAGATGACACAACAGTGGTGAGGCTCATTAATAAGGACTATGAGTCTGCTTATACAAAGAAAGTACAAGGACTGACATTGTGGTGGAAAAAAACTAATCTTACACTGAACACCCTTCAGTGTAAGACTTCAGATGTCAGGCCTGCAGTTATATCTCTTTTAGGATCTTTGGCCTGCCACACACTCTCTTATTTCATTAGGCTGTTTCATTAGTGTAGTAGTTGGGAGGGGGGAATAGAAAGGAGTAGAATGAGATTTGAAAGAGATACCTATAACAATAGAAAAAGAAAGGGAGGGAAGAAGGAAGGAGAGGAAGAAGGAAGTAGAGAAGGGAGGGAAGAAGGAAGGGAAAGGAGAGGAGGGTGGAAGGGAGAGAAAGAGAAGGAGACATAGTAGGAAAGGAAGAGTGGAGGAGAGGTACGTGAAGAAAGAAGGGGAAGGAGAGGAGGAAGGAAGTAGAGAAGGAAGGGAGGGAAAAAAGAAAGGGAAAATAAGGTGGTGTTACAACAGGCGCTAGGGATGGTAAACAAAGCAACCCAAACTGTACCTTATAACTTTTTAAATGGAATAACAAAAGTATAAAAATGGCAAAGAAAAATATTGAAATACAAAAAGTGTGTCTAAAAGGGGAAGAAGAGAGAGAGGGGGGAAGACCGTTTGCTGGCTGGAGGATTCTGGGAGTTGAAGTCCACCCATCTTAAAACATGCTGGCTGGGGGATTCTGGGAGTTGAAGTCCACCCATCTTAAAGCATGCTGGCTGGAGGATTCTGGGAGTTGAAGTCCACCCATCTTAAAACATGCTGGCTGGGGGATTCTGGGAGTTGAAGTCCACCCATCTTAAAGCCTCCTGGCTGGGGGATTCTGGGAGTTGGAAGTCCACCCATCTTAAAGCATGCTGGCTGGGGGATTCTGGGAGTTGAAGTCCTCCCGTCTTAAAGCATGCTGGCTGGGGGATTCTGGGAGTTGAAGTCCACCCATCCTAAAACATGCTGGCAGGGGGATTCTGGGAGCTGTAGTTAAAAAACACTAGTTAGAGCGTTCACCTCCATGCTGTTAAATGCCTAATCTCATAAATACAATCCTTAATCCGAGCCAGACATGGATGCCAAAATTAATGTAAGACTATTGGCTAATGTCACCAATATTCAACTTTCCCCCACCTACCCAATCTGGATCTTGCATAAGGGGCTCAGCTCAGAAGCTGCACTTGGCCTGAGCCACGCTGGGCTTTTCCTTGGGGTTCCCCCCACAGCTCAAGAGCAGGAAATGGCCCCATGGACTATTGGAGGAGAGCCCGTGCAATGGCGCAAACAACTCTCAATGTATTGCAACAAGGAAACGTCGAGGACAAATTGTGCAAAAGTGGCATTGTGTACATGTGTTCTTTCTCCTGTTCCTGAGCTCGCTGTGGCTTTATTTAAAAAAAAATAAGCTCATGGGTGGTTGCATAATGCTTAAAAAGCTTTTTTCCCCCCATTTGAAGATGTTTGTGTCCCTGGTCAGCAGTAATCAGGGATCAAAATTATTTTATTCTACGTTGGCAAACCTAGTCAAGTCAAATCAAATCTTCATTGTGGTGATAGGCCAGGATAATCTAGTACCTCCCTTGTAGTTTGCAGTCAGAGTAAAGCATAAAAAGTCCAATCAGTGTTTCTCAACCTTAGCAGCTTTAAGATGGGAGGACTTCAGCTCCCAGAATTCCCCAGACAGCCTGCTTTAAGATGGGTGGACTAATGGTTCTAATTATGAACCACTATTGGCATAAAATACAGACAGAGATGAATAAATGGAAAAAATTACAATTGTTTTTGCTGGGAAGGACAGCTGTAATAAAAATGAATGTTTTGCCTAAGTTTGTATTTCTTTCTCAAATGATACCAATACTTAAAAAAAGATGTAAATTTGGAAGAATGGCAGAAAGGCATTAATAACTTCGTTTAATAATGATGGAAACATGGGAAAAGATTTGGGTAAGAAATGTAAAATTTATGTAAGCTTAAAACTTGAGAATTTTTACAAGATGTTTTATAGATGGCATATAGATTCTAAAAAGTTAGGTTGTATGTACCCGAATTTATAATCCAAATGTTGGAGATGTGACGGTGTTGATGCTGTGTATTATCATGTATGGTGGACTTGTAAAAAAGTTAAAGCATAAATATAAATATGGTGGATTATTCAAAATATTTTTTAAAAAAGAGGATAAAGTTCACTCTTCAGTTGTTTTTGTTAGGTATAATTATAGATTGTACAGTTATAGGGATTAATTTGATTTTGAACTTAATAACAGCGGCAAGATTGTTGGTGGCAAGTATTGGAAGAAGGAAGAATTGCCTACTATTCAAAGATGAACGTTAAAATTAGTAAACTTAGTAGAGATGGCCAAAAACTCAGCATATTTGAAGGACTATTTAGATGAGAAATACAAGTTGGAATGGAGAAGACGGACTGACTACATTCAAAATAAATATCGGACTGAAAAACTTCAATTAGCCTATGAATGAACAAGGAATGTTACAATTTATCTAAANGAAAGAAAGAAAGAAAGAAAGAAAGAAAGAAAGAAAGAAAGAAAGAAAGAAAGAAAGAAAGAAAGAAAGAAAGAAAGAAAGAAAAAACATGGCCGGCAAGCCACTCCCACAAAGGAGGCCACACCTCGGAAAATTTTTGAAACCCACCACTGAGTGCCATCCATTCCAGGTGTAGGAAGAATTCGAACAGTTTCCTAGTGACTAGCTGTTGGGACAAACCAAGTGCTTTTTGGAAAGGCTTTGGGAGGTGAGCCAATGCCCCATTTCACTCTGAATTGCCTGGAAGTCGGATTCACAAGTGACACGAAGAGGAGAGAGCCACAGCTGTAGTGGAGAAACTGAAAGTCCACCTTAAAACATTCAGGATTTTTCAATCTGTTTGGTATAGAGAGTGTTTCCCAACGTGAGAACTTTGTGTGGACTTTTGACTCCCAGAATTCCCCCGTCATCATGCTCTAAAAAGGGTAGACTTCAACTCCCAGAATTGGGAAATTCTGGGAGTTGAAGTCCACCCATTTGAAAGTTGAGAAACACTGGTTCTCAAGGTCTGGCCCCCTCTCTGCCTCCTCTGAGCCTTCCCCAGACTCCAGGACTGGCCCAGGTGCTTCCCCAACCTCCTCACTGTCCGAGTCCACTGCCAGCTCTGCTGGCCGCTGGCGGGGCACAACAGCCTCTCCTGTCGGAGCTTCATCAGATCCAAATTCCGGTGAGCAGCACAGAGAAAATTGCAGCCTATTCCTTGAGTTGCAGACCCCGACACTTCAGGAAGTCTTTCATTTATTTCGACACTAAAATTACATACTAGAGCTAGTTGTTGACTTAACAACCTCAACTGAGGCTGGAATTTCGGTCCTAAGGCGGAACACTCGTAAGTCAAGGCATCCGTGTTTACCTATTTTTATAACGGTTGCTAAGAGAATCACAGAGTTGTGAGTCTATATCCATTCTCCTGGAAGCAGAGGTGGGATTCAGCTGATTCGGAGTGATTTGGCCGAACAGGTAGCTCCGATGATCGGCTGGAAGCGAACCGGTTCGATCCGGCAATTGGGTCATTCCATTGTCGTCGTCCCCCTGCCCCTGCGATTTACTTACCTATATACTCTCAGCTGATTTGCATGGCAGAACAGATTGCTCCCCAGAAGTAACGTGGAAGGTACGTTTTGTTAAAACTATGCAAGCACGCAAAGCACGCGATCACCGAAACGGTTGTTAAACTGGCAGGATCCCACCGCTGCCTGGAAGTCTACTCTTCTTAAAGTTGGGGGATTGCTGGCTGGGGGATTCTGGGAGCTGAAGTCCACCCATCTTNATGACTTAACACCAAAGGCGCACGGAACGCTGTTCCCTTCCCACCAAAGGTGGCTCCTATTTTTCTACCTGAATTTTTACCTGCTTTTGAACTGCTAGGTTGGCAGAAGCTGGGACTAGTCACGGGAGCTCACTCTGTTACGCAAGGGATTCGAACTGCCGACCTTTCTGATCGACAAGCTCACCATCTCAGCCACTGAGCCACCGCATCCCATCACATGATGCTACCCAGTTGTAAGCTGCATCCAGCTGCTGCAAGGGACACATTGGCACGGCAACAGTGGGTGGAAAAGGGCGAAGGGTACTGGTAGTACTTGACCTACAACCAGAACAGAGCTCAAAGAGTTTGATGCTGAGTTGACATTGCCCCATTTTATGACCTTTCTTGAAAACAACAGTATAGTCTGAAATGAAACACTACAAACGGTATATATCATCTGTGCTGTTTGCTGTTTGTTGCAAGGAGGCAAATTGCTTGTTTTCCTCCCCAAAAGCTAGGTGCGTCTTATACTTCGGAGCGTCTTATACCCCGAAAAATACGGTACTCAGAATTGCAATTTTTGTGAGTGGCGCGGAGGGGGTCAGCTGTCTCGCAATAATTAACCCAGCATTCTGAAGGCAGTCGAGAATTAAATTACTCTTTATTTCATCAGAATTTGTCCACCGTCGAAGTTTCAAGTTGCAGGGCCCATCCGCGGGGGAGGGGGATCGACGACCCAATTTTCCCTCCATCGCTTCGCGTTAACAGTAAGAAAGAGAAATGTTTCCTCTTTAGAAGGTTTCAACCTCCTTTGCAGAATAGAGTTGGGAGTTTTAAGATTAGAGATTTGGGGAGGCGTGGACTTCAACTCCCAGAATTTCCCAGCCAGGGAATTCTGGGAGTTGAAGTCCACGTTGTTTAACTCGTAACGTTGCCATGGTGAGGAAAGGGGGGGGGAGCGCATTCCACGCATACATTCAGATTACCGCAGCAGACTTGGGAGGGGTGCAGCTCATTGGAGGATGTGATTTATGATACAGACTGAGGGGAGGGAAGGAAAAGGGGTAAAGTTCAACTCTGATTCAAATGAGGCTCGGATCTGACTGCAAAAAGGCCTTGCCAAATGATGCTCCCAATAAATGACTGGTTTTCTTTTGAAACTTGGCTCGAGACTCATGAATCAATTAGGGCATCTTTCGGAAACTTGACACACGCCTCTTAAAATGTTCCCCAGCTGGAGAAACTCCTGTCCCCTGGATGGTCCAAATGAAGGACCCACCCTTATTATTCCACTCTCCACTCTCTACCCACGTTCGCAGATGACCTCAATCACGCTCTGCTCCATGGGCACGGGGTCAAGGCACCGGTGAGCCGTGCTGCCCACGATTTCGTCCAGCAAAAAATGCACCAGGTTCTCATCCGAAACGAAGCGCCAGAGGTAGAGCTGCAGGTAGTAGCAGTCCACCTGGATCTGCTGCAGGCCAAAGCGTCCGAAGGTACGCAGGCGGACGCACTCCAGAAAGGTCTTCAGGCTGATCTTGATGATGCCCGTCAGCACAGAGACCTGGGCGGAGGAAGAGGGAGGAGGGTTCGAAAGAGGGCAAAAATCAGAGGCGGGATATATATATATATAATATATATATTCGCTGATTATATTCGCTTCGCTGATAACGGATAAGAGCCTGTGGCCTAATGGCTAAGATCTCTGCCTAGTATGTAATACAGCCCAGGTTCTAATCCCAGTAAGGGTATGGCTAGCTGATGAGAGCTAAATAGCTTGAAATAGATCTATACTAGTCTCCCTTTATTTATTTTATCAGCACAAATAAAAAAAGTATATCTATCTATCTATCAGGTTTTTTTTTCTTGCAGTGATGTATTTGCCAGAGTGAAAAGGAGAAATTAAGATTTCTTGGTGTTTTTCAACGTGTGAAAATCTTTCCCAGGTTATTTCCCCCACTTCTCCTCCTTACTTTTCCCCCTTTGGCAACTGAATTTCTGGGCTTGTTGTCTTGTCTGTTGTCGCAGAAACCTCTCCAGGAGTTACCGAAGTCATGTTTGTGGAAAAGGAACCGGCCGAACGACACGCAATCCTCTCCTGGGAACAGGTACGGCGGCCTCCGCTTGGCATTTAGGCTGCTCCCTTGCATAACGGAGAGTCAGTGTGGACTAGTGGCTAAGGCGACAGGCTGAAAACCAGGAGACTGTGAGTTCTAGTCCCGCCTTAGGCATGAAAGGCAGCTGGGTGACTTTGGGCCAATCGCCA